GAGGAATTGGCAGGAACTCTAGGGATTTCACACAAAGGAAGCAATACAAAGAGAACAGGATATTTTTTCATACAAGTATAGTGGGCAAAAAAGTATTTAGTCAGCCACCAATTGTGCAAGTTCTCCCACTTAAAAAGATGAGAGAGGCCTGTAATTGGCATCATAAGTAGACCTCAACTATGAGAGACAAAAATGAGAAAAACAAATCCAGACAATCACATTGGCTGATTTGGAAAGAATTTATTTGCAAATTATGGTGGAAAATAAGTATTTGGTCACCTACAAACAAGCAAGATTTCTGGCTCTCACAGACCTGTACCTCTTCTTTTAAGAGGCTCCTCTGTCCTGCTCATTACGTGTATCAATGGCACCTGTTTGAACTTGTTATCAGTATAAAAAGACACCTGTCACACAACCTCAAACAGTCACACTCCAAACTCCACTATGGTGAAGACCAAAGAGCTGTCGAAGGACACCAGAAACAAAATTGTAGACCTGCACCAGGCTGGGAAGACTGAATCTGCAATAGGCAAGCAGCTTGGTGTGAACAAATCAACTGTGGGAGCAATAATTAGAAAATGGAAGACATACAAGACCACTGATAATCTCCCTCGATCTGGGGCTCCACGCAAGATCTCACCCCGTGGGGTCAAAATGATCACAAGAACGGTGAGCAAAAATCCGAGGACCACACGGGGGGGACCTAGTGAATGACCTGCAGAAAGCTGGGACAACGTAACTAAGGCTACCATCAGTAACACACTAAGCCGCCAGGGACTCAGATCCTGCAGTGCCAGACGTGTCCCCCTGCTTAAGCCAGTACATGTCCGGGCCCGTCTGAAGTTTGCTAGAGAGCATTTGGATGATCCAGACGAGGACTGGGAGAATGTCATATGGTCAGATGAAACCAAAATAGAACGGTTTGGTAGAAACACAACTCGTCATGTTTGGAGGAGAGAGAATGCTGAGTTGCATCCAAAGAACACCATACCTACTGTGAAGCATGGGGGTGGCAACATCATGCTTTGGGGCTGTTTCTCCACAAAGCGACCAGGACGCGGACTGATCCATGTACAGGACAGAATGAATGGGGCCATGTATCGTGAGATTTTGAGTGCAAACCTCCTTCCATCAGCAAGGGCATTGAAGATGAAACGTGGCTGGGTCTTCCAACATGACAATTATTATTATTATACAGTATTTATAAAGCGCCAATAGTTCACTCAGCGCTGTACATTACAAAGGGGGACAGAACATGTGACAGAACAATACCAATACAATGCAAAACATGAGGGGATTGAGGGCCCTGCTCTTTCGAGCTTACAATCTAGAAGGGATGGGATAGTGGTACAGAGGAGATAGCTGTGGGGGATGGAGTGGTAGGAAGAGTGGAGGAGGTCAGCAAGTTAGCAGGGGGTGAGGTAGGCTTCCCTGAAGAGATGGGTTTTCAGGGTGCGCCTAAAGGAGAGGAGAGTAGGTGATAATCTGATGGGTTGGGGCAGGGAGTTCCAGAGGATGGGTGACACCCTGGAGAAGTCCTGGAGGCGGGCATGGGAGGAGGAGACCAGGGAGCTAGATAGGAGGTCTTGTGAGGAGCGGAGTGTGCGTGCTGGGTGGTACTTGGATATTAGGTCAGTGATGTAGTTCGGGGCAGTATGGTGGACAGCTTTGTACGTCAGTGTTAGGATTTTAAATTTGATCCGTTGCGCAATCGGAAGCCAGTGGAGGGATTGGCAGAGGGGGGTGGCGGAAACGGAGCGTTTGGAAAGGTGAATGAGTCTGGCAGCCGTATTCAGGATCGACTGAAGCGGGGATAGCCAGCGGCGAGGCAGGCCAGTGAGGAGGGAGTTGCAGTAGTCGAGTCATGATATGATGAGGGAGTGGATGAGCTGTTTAGTGGTTTCTGGGGTTAGGAACGTGCGGATTTTGGCGATGTTGCGGAGGTGGAGTCTGCACGAGTTTGTTAAAGATTGGACTTGGGCTGGAAGGATAGGTTGGAGTCCAGAATGACACCAAGTACTCTGGCCTGCAGAGCGGGTTTGATATTGGCGTTGTTGGATGTGATGTAGAAGTCAATGGGGAGTGGGGTTCGGGCTGGGGGGAAGACAAGGAGCTCGGTTTTGGAGAGATTCAGTTTAAGGAAGTGGAGCGACATCCATTCTGATATGTCGCTCAGTAGGTGTGTGATTTGGGCAGAGACCGAGGGGGTGGGGTGGGGGGTTGAGAGATAGATTTGTGTGTCGTCGGCATAGAGGTGGTAGTTGAAGCCGTGAGAGTGTATGAGTTGGCCAAGGGAGGAGGTGTAGATGGAGAAGAGAAGGGGCCCAAGGACAGAGCCTTGAGGGACCCCAACAGAGAGGGGGAGGTGGTAGCATTATAGGTAACGCTGAAAGAGCGTTGTGACAGGTAGGATGAGAGCCAGGAGAGAGCAGAATCTCTGAGGCCGAGGGAGTGTAGTATTTTGAGGAGGAGGGGGGGTGGTCAACTGTGTCGAAGGCCGCAGAGAGGTCAAGGAGTAGGAGCACTGAATAGTGGCCATTAGCTTTGGCGGTTAGAAGGTCGTTGGAGAGTTTGAGTAAGGCGGTTTCGGTGGAGTGTAGGGGGCGGAAGCCAGACTGTAGGGGATCGAGGAGGGTTGTTGTCGTTGAGGTGAGAGCATAGGCGGGTGTAGACGAGGCGCTCGAGGAGTTTAGATGTAAGTGGGAGCAGGGAGATGGGTCTGAGGTTGTTCGGGTCATTGGGGTCCAGGGAGGGCTTTTTAAGTATGGGGGTGATGTGTGCATGCTTCAGTGGGGAGGGGAAAGTGCCGGAGGAGAGGGAGAGATTAAAGATGTGGGTGAGGGAGCGTAGGATGGAGGGGGAGGGAGGTCGTAGGAATTGTGAGGGGATAGGGTCGAGGGGGCAGGTGGTGAGGCGGGCATCAGAGAGGATCTTGGAGACTTCCTCGATGGTAGTAAGGTCAAAGGTGCGGAGTGTTGGGGGAGCTTCAGTATGAGGAATGTAGGGTGGGGTGGGAGAGGAGGTCAGAGCAGTGGTGAGGCCGTGGGAGAGGGGTGAAGAGGGGGTAGCTAAGTGAGGGGGAAGGGGGTTGGAGGGAGTTTGAGCAGCGACGAAGTCCCTGGGGGTAATGTCGAGGGGGAGGGGGGATGATGGGGTAGCTGTGTGAGAGGGGACGGGTTGAGAGGGCGTGTGAGTTGCGGCAATGTCCTTGCGAATTGTGTCAATCTTGTTTTTGAAGTGATTGGCAATATCAAGGGCGGTGAGTGAGGTGCTGGGTGGAGGTGGGGGTGGAGAGAGTAGAGAGTTGAAGGTGGAGAAGAGTCGGCGAGGATTGGAGGAGAGGGCCTTGATGAGGGTCAGGAAGTAGGCTTGTTTGGCTGCGTGGAGGGAGGAGGTGTAGGTGCGGAAGGCAGATTTGTAGCAGGTGAAAGCTTGTTGGGATTTTGTTTTGCGCCATAGTCGCTCCAGGGCACGACTGCGTCGTTTGAGGGTTTTGGTGTGATCAGTCTGCCAGGGCTGGAGCGGTCGGAGTCTGATGTTGCGTGTGGTTAAAGGCGCTAGTGAGTCAAGGGCTGCTGACAGCACGTTGTTGTAGGCAATCATAGCCAAGTCGGGGCAGGACAGGGGGAGGATGCGGTCGTGGAGTTGATCAGCTGCAGAGTGGAGGGGGGCAGGGTTAAGGTTGCGGAGGTTACGGCTGGTAGTAGTGTGACATTTGGAGGGGTAGGTGTTGGAGGACGAGGAGATAGAGAAGGTGATCAGGTTGTGGTCAGAGAGAGGGAAGGGGGTGTTAGTGAGGTTGTGGGGAGCGCAGCGGTTGGAGAAGACAAGATCAAGGATATTACCGTCGGAGTGGGTGGTGGATTGTATGCACTGTGCAAGTGCAAAGGAGGAGGTTAAGTGGAGGAGAGACGGGCTGTGTCCGGGTTGTCAAGGTTGACAGGGATGTTGAAATCCCCAAGAATGATGGTGGGTAGCTCAGAGGAGAGGAAGAAGGGTAGCCAGGAGGAGAAGTCTTCCAGGAAGCGGGGTATGGATCCAGGAGGCCGGTATATCACAGCAATCTTCAGGGGGGTTGGGGAGAATAGTCGGACGCAGTGGGCCTCGAAGGAGGAGAAGGATAGGGAGGGGGGGTTTGGGAGGACTCGGAAGGTGCTCTGCGGTGACAGGAGCAGACCAACCCCACCACCTTACGGGCAACAAAGGAAGTGGCTTCGTAAGAAGCATTTCAAGGTCCTGGAGTGGCCTAGTCAGTCTCCAGATCTCAACCCCATAGAAAACCTTTGGAGGGAGTTAAAAGTCCGTGTTGCCCAGCAACAGCCCCAAAACATCACTGCTCTAGAGGAGATCTGCATGGAGGATGGGCCAACATACCAGCAACAGTGTGTGCCAACCTTGTGAAGACTTACAGGAAACGTTTGACCTCTGTCATTGCCAACAAAGGATATATAAGTATTGAGATGAACTTTTGATATTGACCAAATACTTATTTTCCACCATAATTTGCAAATAAATTCTTTCCAAATCAGCCAATGTGATTGTCTGGATTTGTTTTCTCAGTTTGTCTCTCATAGTTGAGGTCTACCTATGATGCCAATTACAGGCCTCTCTCATCTTTTTAAGTGGGAGAACTTGCACAATTGGTGGCTGACTAAATACATTTTTGCCCCACTGTACATGGTACAGCAGGCACATAGCAGGAATATGAAATGTTGGGTGTACATATTCTTTAAGTATTTGCTAATTAATAGGTCAGCAGGAGGAACAAGAGGGCCAGCTGGGTGGGGGTGGGAGGGCCGGTTGGGTGGGTGATGATTGCTGGTCACTGTTGTACACACCAGAGAAGTCATGTTGAATCAGTGCTGAGACCTCTGGTACAGTATGGTGCTGCTTTCTTTACTGGCTCCTGCCATTTTCATTTTGATATCCCCCTGATGATAGAGTAACTTTAGAGAGCTATCTTCTAGACTCTTCATACATTTTTATTTTCCTGTATCCAGCTCCAGGGTGAGTTTGCCAATATTGCCGCAGATATGAAAGCCATCTGTGAAGATGAGATCTCATTCTCCAGGATGAAGCCATCTGTAACCATCCTAGGAAATATCATTATCCTGCTGTGCAGAGCTGGGAGAAGTGAGGAAGCCTGGTGAGGATGCTCTGCCAGGGCTTTGTTGCTCAAGCAGGGCCATAGTGATTAATGTATACAGGAATTGAATATATCAAGTCTTCATTTTTCTTTTCTTTACTTCCTTTATTACAGGGTGACGCTGAAGTCCTTCAAGTCCAAAAATCTGGTTCCTCAGTGAGTCTGCTCTGTTGAGAAAATACGATGTCTGTTCTGTTCTCTAGGACTTGGACCTTGCTTGCACATCAACATGCTGAAACTTGGAGCTGGACTCCTACTGGAAAGTCTTAAGTTGACAACACCCAATTGTTTTTTATAGGGAGCTCTGTTTACTCAGCAGTTAGTAAATTGCCATTGGTCAGACTTAGAGGCTTCACCTCCATTTTTGTTGTTCTCAATATATCACTAGAAGAAATTTAGTTATGAGATTGGTAGTGATGGGTCATATCAGGTCTGCCTCCTGATCAATGTAACCCCACCTGCTTGTTTTACATACCCCTTGATCTGCAAAGGAGCTAGCATGAAAAAATTTGATTTCTTTTTTTCCCCATTCGACAGAACAGTTTTTACATGTAGTTTTGATGGACAAACAGCTATGCAATTTTTTTTATAAATACACTTCTCTGGGGATCAGGAAGGAATTCTTTTCCTCTGCAGGAGCAAATTGGATCATGCTTTGCTGGGTTTTTTTTTTTTTTCTATGGTTGAAACTGGATGGACATTTGTCTTTTTTCAGCCAGACTAACTATGTAACTTCTGAAAGTGTATCTAAGTTTAACTCTGGCCATAGATGGTTCAAATCTTGGATGGTCCCTGGTGAACCAGCCAAGATTTGAACCATCTATGGCTGATTGAGATTTGAGCCATGTATGGACAGGCTGATTGTACCAAAATCGATCCATCGATTGACTTGGGTACAACCATCATGTCCGATTTTTAGCATGTGATTATTGCCAGTGGCTTTTAACTGCTGGCAATAATCACTGTGATCTCCCGGCAGGTACAGCTCCCAGCGTCTCCCTCCAGAAAAACACAATAACTTTCGGTGAGGATTTCTCTTATTAAAGTGTTACTAAACCCACAACAGTAAAATCAGTGTGTATATGCAGTAAAGCATGCTTGTTATACTCACTGTGGAACCTAAGGGGTTAATCCTCTGCAGTGTGTAAAAAGGATGTTTGATCCTGACTTCTCTGATCATCCCCTTCTTCCAGTGTCTTTTCTTCTGATAAGACATATCATGTGGAAACACTGCACATGCTCAGTTTGGTGTGTATTGCTAGAGAGGTTTTTTTTTTTCTTCTTCTTGAGAGTGCATGTAATCGGCACAGGGCCAATCAGCACTGCCCAGACAGATGTCAGGGGTTCTACATCCTCCTACAAGCTTTAACCAGTGCTCTGCTGAACACTGATTGATAGAAGTCACAAGACTGTTTCCTACTGCTGATGAGAAAAGGTATTTAGCAGTTTATATTTACTAAAATAATTGTATTTCCAGGCTGTGTGTAGTGTGGGACACCAGATATAGTGAATGCAGGGTCCTGGGAGACCAGATATAGTGAATGCAGGGCCTGGGGAGAGCAAAATAAATATAGTGAATGCAGGGTCCGGGGAGACCAGATATAGTGAATGCAGGGTCCGGGGAGACCAGATATACCAGTGAATGCAGGGTCCGGGGAGACCAGATGTAGTGAATGCAGGGTCCGGGGAGACCAGATGTAGTGAATGCAGGGGTCCGGGGGGGAGACCGGATGTAGTGAATGCAGGGTCCTGGGAGACCGGATATAGTGAATGCAGGGTCCGGGGAGACCAGATATAGTGAATGCGGGGTCCGGGGAGACCAGATATATAGTGAATGCGGGGTCCGGGGAGACCAGATATAGTGAATGCAGGGTCCGGGGGAGACAAGATATAGTGAATGCGGGGTCGGGGAAGACCAGATATAGTGAATGCGGGGTCCGGGGAGACCAGATATAGTGAATGCGGGGGTCTGGGAGACCGTATCTTATATAATGAACAGATATAGCAGGGCTTGGGAGACCGGATATAGTGAGTGCGGGTCCCGGGCGGAGACCAGATATTGTGAGTGCAGGGCCTGGGGAGACCAGATATAGTGAGTGCAGGGCCCTGGGTTTAGTAACATTTAATGTATAATTTACACATCTAAATTTAACACACACCACATTCATTGCTAATTTTAATTGTTTCATTGATACATCAACTGTATCAATTAATTAAAAATCATAACCTACCACCTAACTTAAGTCTGTAGATGGAGGACTTCCTGGCACTAACTCTGAGTGCGGGTCCCAGGCCTACATTTGATCAACGGCCAGAGAAACTAAAAATGTGAGATTTGTCTATTTCACATTCAACATGCTTCCGGCTTCCGTGGTATCCAACAAAGTGACTGGAGGCCCAGAGAGCCTCCAATAAAGCCTTATGAATGCAACTTCCAAAATCCATCTCAACATTGTTCCTTGTCCTAATAGCTGAGTCCAGTATCTATCTTCCATCCTTTGTAGCTAAGTTCCAGGTTTCTTTTCAGTAATGCAGTACTTTGTCCACAAGATATGACGCTGCCCTCACACATTATTCCAATAGTCAATAACATTTTTATGCTTGCACATGAAAGAAGCCCGACAACAGCTGAAAGGTTTTAGTTGGACTCCTACTGGAAAGTCTTGAGTTGACAACTCCTAAATGTTTCTTGCAGGGAGCTCTGTTTACGCAACAGTTAGTAAATTGCAGATGGTCAGACTTATGGGCTTTAACTAGATTTTCACCTCCATTTTTGCTAATATCAATATATCACCAGAAGAAATGTTGTTTAATTGTAGTGTAGTTTAGATGGGTTATTCCAGGTCTGCCTCCTGATCAATTTAAGCCCACCTGTTTGTTTTGTATACCCCCTTGATGTGCAAAGGAGCTAGTCTAGTTCACATTCAACATGTTTCTGCTTCCGTGGTATCCAGCAAAGAGACTGGAGGCCCACAGAGCCTCAACAAAGCCTTGTGCATGTAACTTCCAAAATCCATCAACATTGTGTCACTCCTTGTCCTAAGATCCGAGTCCAGTATTTATCTTCCATCCTATACAGGTATAGTTACATAGTTAGTCTGGCTGAAAAAAAGGGAAACATCCATCTAGTTCAACCATAAAAAAAAAAAGTTATAATCCTACACCCAGAGTTGATCTAGAGGAAGGCAAAAAGCCCAGTAAAGCATGATCCAATTTGCTTCTGCAGGGCAAAAAATTCCTTTCCTGATCCCCCGAGAGGCAATCGGATATTCCCTGGATCAACTTTACCTATAAATGTTAGTATCCAGTTATATTCTGTGTATCTAAGAACGATCCAGGACTTTTTTAAAGCAATCCAACTGAGCTGGCCAGAACCAAAAACTCTTGAGGGAGTCTATTCCACACATTTTCACAGCTCTCACTGTGAAGAAACCTTTCTGTATGTGGAGATTTATAAATCTCTTTTCTTCCAGACGTAAAAGAGTGCCCCCTTGTCCTCTGTGATGACCTCAGGGTGAATAACTACACCGAGTTCACTATATGAACCACTGATGTATATTATCCCCCCTTACATGGATTAATTACATGGAGTTAATATCCCCCCCTTATGTATTATACATGGAGATCATATCCCCCCCCTTATGTATTATACATGGAGATCATATCCCCCCTTATTTACTTTATACATGGAGATCATATCCCCCCTTATGTATTATACATGGTGATCATATCCCCCTTATGTATTATACATGGTGATCATATCCCCCCCTTATGTATTATACATGGAGATCATATCCCCCCTTATGTATTATACATGGTGATCATATCCCCCTTATGTATTATACATGGAGATCATATCCCCCCCTTATGTATTATACATGGAGATCATATCCCCTTATGTATTATACATGGAGATCATATCCCCCCTTATGTATTATACATACATGGAGATCATATCTTAATTTATATCCCCCCTTATGTATTATACATGGAGATCATATCCCCCCTTAATCTCCTCTTCTCAAGAGAGATTAAATTCAGTTCCTCTAATCTTTCCTCATAGCTGATCTCCTCCATGCCTCTTATCAGTTTGGTTGCCATTCTCTGTACTTTCTCCAGTTCCCCAATGTTCTTTTTGTGAATTGGTGTCCAAAAACTGAACTGCATATTCAGATGAGGTCTTACTAATGATTTGTTACCGGGGTAATATGATATCTCTCTCTCTGGAGTCTATACCTCTTAATACAAGAGAGGATTTTGCTCGCTTTAGAAACCGCAGCTTGGCATTGCATGCCATTATTAAGCTTGTGATCTACCAGAACTCCCAGATCCTTCTCCACCATTGATTCCCCCAGTTGTACCCGGGCCCCCCCCCCCTAGTATGTATGAGCATGTATATTCTTAGCCCCCAAGTGCCAGAACCTTACATTTATCAACATTAAACCTTTCATTTGCCACATAGTTGCCCAATTACACAGTACATTGAGGTCGGCTTGTGGTAAGTTGGAGACATCCTGTAAGGACGTTATTCCACTGCACAGCTCGGTGTCATCTGCAAAGACTGAAATGGGATTTATAATCCCAGACCCTATATTGTTTATAAATATATTAAAAGTAAGGGTCCCAACACTGAACCTTGGGGTAACACCACTGACAACCCTAGACCATTCAGAGTATGAATCATTAACCACTACTCTGAATATGATCTTTTTAGCCAGTTTTCTATCCATTTTATATACGGATTTTTCCAAGCCTGTAGACTTTACCTTACACATTAGCCGTGTGTGGGGAACTGTGTCAAACGCTTTTTGCAAAATCCAAGTATACCACGTCCACCACCACCCCTCTGTCCAAGTATGCCACATCCACCGCCCACCCCTCTGTCCAAGTATGCCACATCCACCGCCACCCCTCTGTCCAGGTATACCACGTTCACCGCCACCCCTCTGTCCAGGTATACCACGTTCACGCCACCCCTCTGTCCAAGTATACACACGTTCCACCGCCACCCCTCTGTCCAAGTATACCACGTCCACCCGTCCACGCTACCCCTCTGTCCAAGTATACCATGTCCACCGCCAACCCCTCTGTCCAAGTATACCACGTCCACCGCCACCCCTCTGTCCAAGTATACCACGTCCACCGCCACCCCCTCTGTCCAAGTATACCATGTCCACCGCCACCCCTCTGTCCAAGTATACCACGTCCACCGCTACCCCTCTGTCCAAGTATACCATGTCCACCGCCACCCCTCTGTCCAAGTATACCACGTCCACCCCTCTGTCCAAGTATACCACGTCCACCCCCTGTCCACCGCCACCCCTCTGTCCAAGTATACCACGTCCACCGCCTACCCCTCTGTCCAAGTATACCATGTCCACCGCCACCCCTCTGTCCAAGTATACCACGTCCACCGCCACCCCTCTGTCCAAGTATACCACGTCCACCACCACCCCTCTGTCCAAGTATACCACGTCCACCACCACCCCTCTGTCAAGTATACCACATCCACCGCCACCCCTCTGTCCAAGGTTTTGCTTACCCCCTCATAAAAAGAAATCAGATTTGTTTGACAAACTTCTGTCTTTCATGAATCCATGCTGTCTGTTGCTTAAAATATTTTTTCCAGCAAGAACTCATCTATGTGGTCTTTTATTAAACTCTCCAGTATCTTCCCAACTATAGAGGTTAAACTAACAGGTCTGCACTTGGGGGCTAAGAATATGCATGCATCATACATACTAGGGGGGGTACAACTGGGGAAATCAATGGTGGAGAAGGATCTGGGGGTTCTGGTAGATCACAAGCTTAATAATGGACATGCAATGCCAAGCTGCGGTTTCTAAAGCGAGCAAAATCCTCTCTTGTATTAAAAGAGATATAGACTCCAGAGAGAGAGAGATCATATTACCCCGGTACAAATCATTAGTAAGACCTCATCTGGAATATGCAGTTCAGTTTTGGGCACCAATTCACAAAAAGAACATTGGGGAACTGGAGAAAGTACAGAGAAGGGCAACCAAACTGATAAGAGGCATGGAGGAGATCAGCTATGAGGAAAGATTAGAGGAACTGAATTTTACTCTCTCTTGAGAAGAGGAGATTAAGGGGGGATATGATCACCATGTATAATACATAAGGGGGGATATGATCTCCATGTATATAATACATCAGTGGTGGTTCATATAGTGAACTCGGTGTAGAGTTATTCACCCTGAGGTCATCCCAGAGGACAAGGGGGCACTCTTTAAGTCTGGAGGAAGAGAGATTTAATCTGCAAACACGGAAAGGTTTCTTCACAGTGAGAGCTGTGAAAATGTGGAATAGACTCCTTCAAGATTTGGTTCTGGCCAGCTCAGTGGATTGCTTTAAGAAAAGTCCTGGATTTTCTTAGAAACACAGAATATAACTGGATACTAACATTTATAGGTAAAGTTTATCCAGGGAATATCCGATTGCCTCTCGGGGGATCAGGAAGGAATTTTTTTTTTCCTAGCAGGAGCAAATTGGATCATGCTTTGCTGGGTTTTTTGTCTTCCTCTGGATCAACTGTGGGGTGTAGGATTTATAACTTTTTTTTTTTTTTTCCTATGGTTGAACTGGATGGACTTTTGTCTTTTTTCAGCCAGACTAACTATGTAACTATGTAATTAAATCATAGTTCTCTTCATGCACCAAAGCTTCCAACTCACCTATTTTGCTTGGCAGACTTCTGCATTGGTGAACATACACTTTAATTCATTGACACCTCGTGCACGTATTTTGCTTGTTTTTTTTTTTTTATACAAATGGTTCCAATTCCAATGGTTGTTTGTAGCATGTGAACCTTCTTATCATCTGCCATAGCCCTCCCCCCATCTTTCCCCATTCCACCCACCAATAAGGACTGACCCCTCTTTGACCTGTCTGCCCCATTATAATTTAATTCTCCCTCCTCGATTCTAGTTTAAATACTCCTCCAAGTGCCCCTTAAAGCTCTCCCCCAGCACAGCAGACCCCCTTCCATTTAGGTGCATATAGGTTGCACCCAATGAAAAGTCAGCCCAGTATCTTTTCAGTAATGCAAAACTTTGTTCGCAGGATATGAAACTGCCCTCACACAGATTCCAATATTAAATAAATGTATTTATGATCAACAAATCCCTGCCTGGGACCTTCCTCACCAATATGTTTCACCCAAAAACAGGCTTAAAAAGCCTAACCACGAGCCTGTCTTAAGTAAAAGACAAGGGGGGTCCTAAGTGTGGCTTTGTTGTTCATGTCTCTAGAAAGATAACGTTTTGTTGATGCTGGAACGCTCAGTAGACGTTTGTATCGTATCCTGTGAACTTTGTTGTGGGGTGCACAGATGAGCTCCAATCCGGCATTGTCACCCAACGGCCAGGAGTCCTCAGGGAGGCTTGTGGGTGGTGACTTGTTTCTATTTGAAATCCTTTAGCTGGACGGGTTTTTTTTAGTATTGACTGGGAACTGTTGTGCTTCTTCTAGGTTACATGTGATTGAAGAGCTCCTGCACTGTGCTAGGGCGTCTGGCAGCACCAATATGGCCATTGACCTTGTGCAGCTGGCCGTCAGCTACAGCTTGCCAGACATAGCTAAGCTTGCTCAAACCACGCTGGATGAGTTCACCCTTACTGAAGAGCAAAGGTATGAATTGGGTATTGTGGATAAGAGGTACCTGAACACAGTATTTCACACCTTTACCATGGTGCACCAGGGCTCTGTTTTGGAACTGTTCCCATAGAAATGCACAGACCATAATGCGTGTTCTGTTTTGATCCACCACTTTCTCAGTATCTGTAGTAAAGACAGAATGATATATAGACATTACTGTGCCAGTTCATCCCTCCTCATGTTCTGGAGGGAAAAGGGAGGCAGTATAGACTCGGGGTGTCTTCATATCAATTACAAAAGGGTGTGCTGCCACCTCCAGGTGTTTGGACACTGGCAAACAAAAGACTGGAAATCCCCTCCTACTCATAACCCCTCCCTTTTAGACAAGGCTTTCGTTTTTCTTGCTAGTGTCCTAGGTGATAGTGTCCTAACTGCTCAACAGTTCCATCTGAGATTAGGAGACAGACTTTCCCAGATCCATTACCTATGATTTTTATGCGCTCGGAGAAATGGTATGGGGACATGGGGATGGCTTGCCAGATTGCTGGTTGGCACTGGACCCTGAGGAACGGGACCCTGCAAAATGATATATAGCCTTCCGGTCCAGTAGGGTGCCATACAGGTCTAGGGCAGTGATCCCCAGCTGGAAAGTCAAGTCCTTGAAGGGCCTGGGGGTATAGCCCACTGTTATGGGTGAAGATTGGAATCCCTGAGGGGGTCCTGCGGATGGAATGGCTATTTGGGCATGTATTCTTTATTGTAGTTGCATGGGACTCCAAATGTCACTGTTTTATGCTTTCTGGGCCGCCTGAGCGCTACATAGCAGTAGCAGTGTGGGGCAGTTTGGGGACCTTCTGACACCAGAATCAGAGAAAACATTCCACTCCCTGCATTCTTTTTAAAGTACAGCTAAAGGCAAAACTTTTTTTCCTAACGTTGGATAGAGTGGGGGTGGATTAGAACACCTGTCATTTATTATTGCCGTTTGTGCCCCTGTTAGGGAGATTTTCTCTATAAGTCCTGTTTACCATTATCATTGAAAGTGAAAATAAAAAAAAATCTTAAAATTTGAGTTGTCCCCAGAAAAGTAAGAGAGGGGAAATCTTCCAATGGGGACTCTAGTTCTGGTAAACTGGGGTCCCCAAGATATTCCCTTAATTTGCAGGGAATTCCTCTCCACTTCCTGTTTTGGGACAGGAAGTGAAGGTAAATCTCCCCAATGGGACAAGGGGGGCAAAAAAAACCTTACAGGGCTTATGATCCTCCCTTTATCCAACATAAGGTTTGCCTATAGCTCTACTTTAAGCACAGTAAGCCATACACACACAGGAGCAGAGCACCTGATGATGTCTCGTACAGGCAGATCTCTCCAATGGCGGCAAGCTTAAAAGATCCTATTCTTTAGATGTGGCAGCGAATCTATTGCTGTGGGATTACAAATTGAAACAAGTATACTTGAAGGGGCCACTAAGCAGTTACCTTGTGGGGTGGTAGGGTACTGGCCATAAGAGGAGGCTAACAATTAGGGGTAACCAGCACACTAATGTATAATACAGCCAACTGGGACCGCCATTTTATCCAGCAAGAGTCCTAATATATCTGTCAGCAGGTCATGTCTCAGCGATGACAAGGTAGGGATTTAGAAATTGAGGGGTCCCAAATCTCTTTATTAGACAGGGAGGAAAAGGGACATAGCCCCCCAATGCAATGTATCCCCTGGGGGTCAATTCGTTTCATGCTGGTCTGATTTCCTTTACCTATCTGGTATTTTGTTATTTCTGGGGCACCTTTCTTCAGTTCCTTTGTGACAAGTGAGGAATGTTCATCTGCTATTGCTGGTTTACACGACAGCTCTCCAGAATAATTAACGTCTTGGAATACCTTGGTCGAAAGCAGAAGCGTTTTCCCTTCCCCCTTCCCTTCTGTTAATGGAAGAGGAACCAGTGAAGAATAAGATGCAGGAGGTCAAGCATTCCAGTAGAATGGAAGATTTGGATTGTGGTGTCTGCCACAACATCCTCACTTCTTTCCTGTACAGCCTCATTTAAAGGATGGTTTGTACATGGACTGGGCTCACCCTGACAAGGTGTTTGTTCCACCTAAAAGGTTTTCTCAGCATTACCCCATGCAAAGTGAGTTCACTGAAAAATGTCAGTTTCAATGGATACGACAGTTTCTCATCTTAAGATGTCCACTGGACAAGGTCCTGGTGATCAAAGATGCCTTGGACAAACATCTGGAGGCCTCATTTTCTGTGGAGGCAGCCTTGCAGCTGTAGGCCTGAGCCAGAACCTTAAGGTTTGACAAAACGTATGGTGATACCAACATGAGCAGAAACTTGGCAGAATTTCCACGTGCTCTTAACTTCTCAGTGGATACCTTGAAGGACTCTACATAGTAACTTTCTTCGCAAGGAATCTTCTCCGCACACATGCACAGGATCTTATGCTATTGAGTTACAGAATTTTCCTGCAAACATTTGAAACGTTTACCTTTTCATGTGAAGTGTTTCTGTTGTCCTGCCCTAGATCGTTCCATCCAGCAGGTGACTAAAGGGTTACCTGCTGGATGTAACCATCCTCTCGGGGCAGAAGGTCCTTAGTAAGAGAGGTGACCAAGAGTGGTACTGTTACCCCTTAAAAAGAAAGCAATTCCTATGGTTCAGAAACCCTCTGCTAATTTTACTTCCAAATATCAATCTTTTCACCAATTTCAGGCCTTGAGCTCTAAAACGAAAACCAAGTTGCACAAGAATCTATGGACTCCAAAGCCCTGTAAGCCGAGGGACAAACCACCTTCACAATAAAGGGACACCTCCACTCGCTTGGGTGGGGGGCATTTGCAGGCCTTGATGAAGGTTTGGCAGGGTGTTTGCACCATAGTGGCTCACAGCTACAAGCTGGAATTTCAGAGCCTTCATCTCTCTGCACTTCATTCTCTCAACATTTTCTTTGAATCCACAAAAAACATTTGCTCTTTTGCAAGCTGTCCGTTATCTCAAGGGGTGATCATTACAGTTGAAGAGGGCAAAAGGTTTTGCAGTTTCTACTCGAAATGTTTCAGAGCTTTGAGACATCCCTGTTGTAATGTATATGAAAATACCCATCCTGGGATGTACAATAAAGAAAATGGGATGTTTGATTTACCTGTAAAATCCTTTTCCTGGAATACATGACAGGACACAGGTATCCCACTCCTCTGCCTTTGTGGTTCATGGTTTCCTCCAAGAGGCCTTGCCTAAATACCTAGAAGGGGATTTTGTTGTCTTTTTTTTCCAGTCACCTGAAGCTGGCAGCATAATGGATAGGAGGATACACTGTCATATCCTCCTGTGTTCTGTGATATACTCCATTAAGAGATTTTACGATAAACCATTAATCAAATTTTAAGGCTTGACATGTTGGTATCTATTTACTCGGCACAACTTCATCTTTTATATATTACCAAAAATTGGTAATATATTGTTTTTATGTGCCCTAAAATTTATTGTATTTCTTACGAAAATTTTGCAGTTGATAACCAGTAGCAGTAATATGGTATGACATAACTTGAAACTACCATCATATTAATCTCTATGGTCTCTGTTTTCAGAAAATATATAATGTTTTGGGGGTTTTCAGGCCAATCAGAATCCATGCCTAAATAGTAGACTTGTACAGTCTTTGAAGTTAAGGAATCTCAACCAAGTGCACAAAAGGTTACTGTAATTGTGAATTTTGTCTTTCTTCTTCTAGGATAACCCTGCAAGACCTGACTCAGAACAGCAAGAGTAGTAGTAGTAGTAGTAGCAGTGACAGTGATCACGACTGAGGTGACCTGCAGACACCATGGCTAAGTCCACTTTGCTATCAATGTCATTACATCTGCTGGTAGTCTGCTGCGCCTATATGGAAGTTTACATTTTATTTTATACATTTTTTCAGCTTGTATTCAACTTGTGCATATATTAAATTATGAAAACAAAATGTTTGTCTTTTTGTGAAATATTTAACCTTGATAGCACTTCCTCCTGCCCTAGGAGGATGGACACTGAGGTCCCACTCACAAATTATTGCGCAGTTACAACACTTCGTCACCAACTATTTATCCTAATCGTACAGGACACAGGAATTGATTCTTACACCATGCTGCCCCACAGTGTACCCATATAACCCCACCAATTCAGTGAGGCTCTAGGGGGTTTTTTTTTTTGCTAGTGTCCTTGGGTGTTAGAACCATTTTTTTCACCAGTTTTCCTTTCTTTCTTCACCTAACACTTCTATCAAGTTCTGCCTGCTTATTGCCTTATGACTCGCTAACAGTTGCCTTATTGGTTACCCTTGATTTGGACATCTTGGGAACTATGCCCTGTAATATTTGCTTCAGGCACTGGATCCTGCATTGAGCACTCACCTTGGTATGTGGCGCAAAAATGAGTTTTCCACAGGGTGCCAGACACTGTAGTGCTTACATAACACCTAACTTTGCTTTTCTGTCCATGATGCAAGCTGAGCGTTTCCTTTATCACCTGTTGCCTGGTACTCTTGAAACACAGCAACAAGAACTTGGTTAGTGTCTGGATTATTGCAGTTCCTTAATGCTGAACCCCTCCAGTCCGTATCAGCTTCATGAGTATCCTGTAAGGCAGAGGTCTCCAAACTGTGGCCGAATGTGGCCCTTTGCTTGCTTCTATCTAGCCCTTGGGGCACTCCATTGATACGAGGCACTATCCCTTCCATTGACACCATAGATGGGGCACTATTCCTCCCACTGACACCAACGATGGAGCACTATCCTCTCCCCCACACTGATGCCAACGATGGGGCACTATTCCCCCCCCCCCCACCCACTGACACCCCAACGATGGGGCACTATTCCCCCCCCCCACACTGACACCAATGATGGGGCACTATTCCCCACGACACCAACGATGGGGCACTATTCTTCACCCCCCCCGACACCAACAATGGGGCACCATTCTTCACCCCCCCCCCCCACCCAATGGGGCACCCCCCCCCCCCCGACACCAACAATGGGGCACCATTCCCCCCTCACTGACCCCAACGATGGGGCACCATTCCCCCCCCCACTGACACCAACGATGGGGCACTAATCCTCCCACTGACACCAAGTATGTACATTTATTTTATTTTTTTTTACCCCCATTTAGTAAGCCCAAGCCCATTGCATTTTCTATTCCCATTGGCCACAGTCTGGCCCCCTAAAGAATAAAGAACAGTAAACTGGCCCTTTGTTTCAAAAGTTTGGAGACCCCTGCTGTAGGGGAAGATCCTCACTTAGTGATGGATTAGACACTTAGGAGTGGCAGCACATGGGACAAACGGTGGGAATTCTGCTGCAAGCCCTGAATAATCTCATTTCCTGTGAAGTTGAGGTAATTAAAGACATTGCTCAGCAACATGGGCCCTGCCACCACTCCATCCTGATTTGGGCTCCCTCACCGACATGCAACCTGTCTTACAGATGTAGTCAAAGAAACTTCTGCTTATCTATTCCAGAGGCTATTGCTGCATCTACAACCGGCAGACACTTGCAGTTGTAAACTCTCTTCTGTGTCTCTTCCTCCTGACTGCACAAATTTCATCACCTGAACACACTTTTGCAGTTGATGAAGGGGACTCTGACATCTTAGCGGAGCTTGCTGAATATTTTTCACCCTCCAACATTTCACAAGGTTAACTCCGTTACCTTCTCATCACATGCTGGCTTCGGTGGACTCATTGACTGAGGCAGTGCACACCAGTCTCTGGCTACACACCTAGTTCTGCACAGCCTCCACATGCTCCAATAGGCACAAAAAGGAGAGAGTCATAGAAAGCCTTTCCCTAGTTTTGATCCAGCTGATTGGACTTCATAAAATGACTGAACTCTGAGGGTATTCATCCCTCCTGGTTACTGCCTGGTACCCAATGAAAGAATTAAAAAAAAAAAAAAAAAACAAACCATGAACTGCTCCCAAAGTGGACCCAGACTTTCATGCAGCAAATAATCAATCTACTGTTTCTATTAAGGGCATTCCATCTTTTACCACTTCAAGTCCAGACACTTCAACTCCCTTCCAGGCCAATTTTCAACTTTCAGTGCTGTCACACTTTAAATGCGGTCATGCAACACTGTACCCATATGACATTTTTAAAAAAAATTCACATAAATAGAGCATTTCTTTTGATGGTATTTAATCACCACTGGGTCTTTTTTTTTTTTTTGCTATATAAATGGAAAAAAAATGTTTTGCTTAGTTTTTTTGTGAAAAGATAGACACTTGAGGAGTAAGCACACAGCAGCCACTCTGCATCCTTCTAGGCTAAGGGAACATAAACACCTCCCGAACAATGGGGGGGAAGAGGAAACCTACAGAAGGGCCCCACAAACGGACAGAATTCTTCTGTGTAGCCAAAGGTCCAGCATCTCAAGATGGCACCGACTGCAGTAAGTCACACTCCTCTCATTCCAGGGGAAGCAGCTGCTCATCACATCAAGGAACTCCATTTAACAGCCCTGTAAAAGCTAGCTCTAGGATGTCTCCCTCATCAATATGCAGGTGAGCAGCCTAAAGGGGATAAATGCAGGCCCTCTACTGGAGAGATTATAGAATGCATTGATTATCCCACACTGGGCCAGACAGTATCTGATAAAGCAGGCCTTAAAATTTCGAGTCTAGACCTACTAGCCGGGCACAAACCTTACTCTCCACCAGTTGCCCCACCCAACCTTGCCCAGGTCCACCTCCAACCCCAGCCCTGCCCCCAACCACGCCCCCTTAAAGCTTATGAAATTACATTTTTCTTTAGAATAACAAGTCCAAAATATAAAATTGTATACAGTATATTATACACCGTATATAGAAAAAAAATATATACTCATAAAATAAGATTAAAAAATAGCTTTAACAATAAGATATATGAATAAAGATAGAAGGTATATTGTAAAGTAAGATGAGATAAGATACTGTCAAAGTTAAGATATAAGATATGAAAAAGTTATATTGTAAGACACAATACAACAAGATAGAAGTTAACATCAATCGATCCAAGCGCTGAAATCCCAGATTATTGGAAGCCGATTAGGCCTCAGCTGCTGATGTCACACTAAAGTGATAAATAGAGTCCAAAGGAACAGTGCTAAGAAGACTTAGGTTTAGGTAGTATTGACCCCACAATGAATAAATAAATAAATAAATATTGACCCCACAATCCAATAAAGGGTAGAAATTTATTCCATTAAAAACTATATAGACATTTAGTAACAGCAGTAAAAGCCCAATGTGTGGCCGTGATGGAATACCTGCTCAGCTAAGCAGCATAAGCCCCCGAGCCGGTGTGGATGGTAAAGCAAGGTGATCACTAGACGCAAGTTAGCCAGACCCGGACCGCTGCGCATCAGTTCAGTTTGCGGTTCAGCCTGGTTTTTGGTGGCCGACTTCTGCTTCTTCCTGGGACGTCAGTTCCTGTGCGCCGCAGTCTCCGGTCCAGCTAGCTTAATTCTAGTGATCACCTTGCTTTACCATTCACAGCGGCTCGGGGGCTTATGCTGCTTAGGTGAGCAGATATTCCATCACTGCTTGCAGCTAGAGAATTTCTCCTTGCATTTAGCGAGCAGCTTTTTCAAGCCCTGTGATAAAACATTGAAGGCCATGCTGGGGTTACTAATGGGCTCCTTGCATAGCGATATGCTATCTCTGGTTACTCAGATCAGAACAGAAGTAGATGCACTTGGTGAGAGAGTGAATCATACAGAAAACAAGATGGGGGAATTTGCAATAGCACACAACAAATTAGTGGATGTCCATAAGGCAGCTGATGATGAGCTCAATGCTCTTACACTGAAAGTTGCAGATTTGGAAGATCGCCCAAGGAGGAATAATATTAAATTTGAGGGCAGAACTGAGACAATCCCTCCATCAGACCTCCTCATCTATATACAGCGATTAATCTCCCCTCTTACCTGACATGCCTAAAAGAGAAATGTCTGTGGATCGAGCTCACAGGTGCCACAAGCCAGCCTACTTGCCTGATAACGTACCTTGCGAAGTCATTACCTCGTTAAAGAGGCCTTAATGCATTACACAAGACAAACATCTCCTTTGCCTGAACTCTATACAGACCTTGTTCTTTATGCAGATTTGTTGCAACATACTATGATAGCCTGTAAAAAAAAACCCACTGGTCCATCATCCTAGGATAGATGGTGGTCAATATGGGATATTGATAAACAGTAATCTTAATCCCCACACCAGACTGCTAGCGGGATCCTTCTCCACCAAGCGTCCTTTACTTCCTTTTTTTCCTTTCCTTTTCTTCCCCTATCTTTATTCTCACTCCTCTATTTCACTTCTCCTTCTCTTTCCTTTTCAAGTCCCTTCTCTGGTTTTAGACAGTTAAAGGGCCATGAGGGTCATATCCCCTTATGGTATGTCAAACATTTGAGGGCAAGTGCCCCTTTATACAGGTCAGGTGGTCTATGACACCAGACGTGACAGTTTTACATTAGATTTCATTTTTTCTGTTATCTTATTGTTGCAGTTCTTCCATCTACAGGTCCCTAAGGGACCCCTTTGGTCACTATCAACAGATAATTGCTTTGAAATATTGTATTTTGCGCATTGCCGGATTCAGCCCGAAAAGACTGCCGTTTATATGGGGGGGAGGGTAATGGATGTATATTTTTCTGTACTGGCTTGTAACTTCTTTCTTATGGAAAAAAACGAAAACAGTATTGGAAAGGGGAAAAAAAAAAAAAAATCTGGTCTCCCTCACAAAATTGTATCGCAACAACCACCTCATATAGCACTGGGGAGTCCCGGCTATGCTGATGGTCACTTGGGAACAGAAAACCTACACAATGGATGAAGGTATGTGACTGGCAAAACACTGGGGCATACTGCCCTCTGATGAAAAGGTTGCACCAGCTAAAACATCACCCCCTAGCATCGAATCAGTGTTGGGGGAAACCCAGATTGACACATATCTCCTAGATTGTAAGCTCCAAAGAGCAGGGCCCTCGATCCCCTCATGTTTTGCATTGTATTGTTATTGTTCTGTCCCCCTTTGTAATGTACAGAGCTGAGCAAACTATTGGCGCTTTATAAATACTGTATAATAATAATAACTGAATCATCACAAAGTCCAGATGTGACAGGTGCTTAATAAATTCTGGTATACGCTGTTGCCCCCTTATGATTATGCAGTAGGATCCGTTCGTTGAGAGAAATCTCATGTTTTTTTTTCTTGTTTATCTTTTTGTTACTGTTGACTGTTTTTGGTTTATTTGAAGACACATTTGATACCAAGTTACTACCCAAGAAGTTCTTACAGGTGAAGACACAATCCCTACGGGAACTAATACCGGTGGTTGGCAATGGAAAAAAAAAAAAGTATATGGCCAGAAGTCAGAGTTCTTCATGTCCTGGGAGTATGACATCAACAAAACCAAGCAGACATTTACCCTTATACATGGCTCTTGAAGTTCTCTGGATGGCCCCAGTCTGGATAACCCTTTCAAGTGTAAGGCTATGTGGCAAGAAGCTAAAATCCTCAAAGGAGATGTTCTTTGTGTACAAGAAACACCTTTTCTAGCTGGTAAACCCCCAAATGAACACACAAATTGTTCCCTAATATTTTTACTGCAGATGCAGAAGTCACTGAAGTTGCCCTCGCTCTTCAAAAGGTTGAGCTCCCCTGTCCTAGGGGGTCCCATTTTCACCCATCACATGGGATGCTGCCACTAAGGGCCTTCAGGTACTCGATGCCCTTGGTGGTGATCAGTGCCCTGAACCTGTATGTATGCAATTGTGCAGGGTCCAGTGCTAACCAGCAAGCTTACAGGCCATTCCAGCATGTCCAGGCCAGGGTCCAGGTATCTGGAAAAGGCCAGCCTCCTAATCCTAGATGGAATCATTAAGAATTTGCTGTTCTAATGAGCAGAAACTACACAGACATGACCATCACACCTAAGACACTAGGCAAAAAAAAAAATGAAGCCTCACCTAACGGAGAGTTCTTGCTTGTGGGGGGGGGGGGCCTGATTCCCTGTATTTTTAAGCCAGTGTCCAATCACCTGAAGGAAGCAGTATAACCCCGATGTCATGAAGATACTCTGTGTCTCGTGATTAACAATAAAGAAATGTAGCCAGTAGAGCACATTTATGAAAAGGTGTACCTTGCAGCTATTTGAACCCTACAAACATACACTAAAAGGGAACAGACACAATGGCGGCTATACCCACCACTAAAAGGTAAATACTATGGAGTTGCCACAGCTGGTAACAGCTTGCTGGAAGCAAGGTTACCAAAGTACACCATATGAAATGAATGTCAATCACTTGCTGGCCAGAATACTGCAGAATCTTGACCACCCTCGATGAAGAGATATCGCGCGCGCGCGCGCACACACACACACACACACACACACACACACACACACACACACACACACACACACACACACACACACACACACACACACACACACACACACACACTGACTTGGCCAGTGTGAGTGCTTGCTGAAGCACCACAGTACATATACTGCGGCAGGTACAGGTAGTATTAGTACATCGCTGCCTGCTTCTGGGTTTCGCAAAAGCAGAGAAAGGAAACAAAAGCGATTTGTAGTAAAACGCACACAGTAAACACATTAACACCTGTTAGGCACACAAATGGCCCCTTGATCACCCCTAGATGTTAACCCCTTCCCAGCCAGTGTCATTAGTACAGCAATAGTGTAAATTCTTAGCACTGATCACTGTATTAATGTCACTGGTGATGTCATGGTGACAGGAAGTGTCGGATTGCACACCACACTGTCACAGTCCCACTATAATTCACTGATAGTTACCATCAATAGAATAAATAATTAATTAAATATTCCAGTATATATATCCCGTAGTTTGTAGATGCGATAAAGTTCACGCAAACAAATTTGCATACACTTATTAGGTTTTTTTTTTTTTACCAGATATATGTAACAGAATACATTTTGGCCTAAATTTATGAAGAAATTAGAGGTTTTTTTTTTTTACTTTTCTGCTATAAAACATACCTATTAAAAAAAAAAATGAAAAACTTTTTCCTCAAACTTTTTGGTCTTTTTTCATTTATACAATAAAAAAAATTGTGATCAAATGCCACCAAAATAAAGCTCTATTTGTGTGAAAAAATATATAAAATTTTGTTGACTATGCAATTGCCAGTTAAAGTAGCGAAATATGGCCTGGTCATGAATAGGGCAAAATCTTCCATTGCTCAAGTGGATAATGACAAATGGCCCACTCCATCAGCACAATAGACATCAAGAGGTTAAAGCTGAACTTAACTGCTTCCCAACTTCCCTATAGCAGAAGTACTGCTACAAGGCAGCAGGGATATGTGTGTGCACGCACGCACTTTAGATTTTGCATTTTTGGGGATGGGGCACGCGCCCACTCCCTACCTGCGCTGCTGCTGGCTCCTTGGCATGTAAATCACCAGGTCCCAGCTGCTGATTCTCCGCCAGGACTCGGTGATCGTGCTGACAGGGAATAGATCTGTGTTTACATATAGACCTCTCCCCTGTCAGCTCCACTGACGAACAGGCTGTAATAAAACTATTTTTTACTTTAATTGCTATAAAATCGCTGGGTTTTGTTTATTTATAGCGCAAAAATAAAAAATGTAGAGGTGATCAAATAGCACCAAAAGAAATCTCTATTTGTGGGAAAAAAAAGGACATAAATTGTACAACATTGCATGACCACACAATTGCCAGTTAAAGTAACAGGGCCGTATCGCAAAAAATGGCCCTGGTCAGGAAGGGGGGTGGTAAATCCTTTGGAGGGCAAGTGGTTAATTCTACTTATATTTTGCTTTCCCTGGTTTCTTCCTCGCCCTTAGCAACAGTTTTCCTATAAATAAATGAAACACACTGCACAGGAAAGACAGAAAGGTGAGAGTGATTGTTTTATTTGGACATCCCAACTGGAAGAATAATTGAAAAGAATAAATGACATTTTGGTTGGATCAGTAAAACCTGAAAACTTAAAACCGCTGGGCAGAGGAGAGCACGTTGCCGGAAGGTGCAGACATGGTGCAGGACGCCCAAAGAGTTCTGTCACCTGGAGTGAGAAGGGGTCAGGAGAATGCAACAAAACTCTACTGTCATCATGATCAATTACAGAAAGCCAAACAATCAGAAGTTGGACCTTCCATGCACGCTTAGTGGAACCACCATTGTGTGTTTACAGTGCACATCACAAATGGAATAATCATTGAGCCACTGGTGAGGGGGGTTAGTGTGTCATGCCAAGATATAACAAGGGAAAAATTGGAGTCTTCTTCCTGCTTCCCAGTGCTTATAAAGAGGACCTGTTCTAACAATACACAGCAGCTAGGAGAACACAGAATACAACATATATAGGCTGTAAACCAGGCATTGTCTGCAATATTTATCTCACAAAGTAGTAGAAAAAGTGTGCATTGTAAATCGGATGCAGAGGTTGCTCAGTTTTACAGCCTGCTATGTTTTCATATCTGGCACCCAGTGGCTGTGTTGTCGGTTACAGTGGTAAGGCTCTGTCTGCCCCTCTGTTTCGGAGGGATACATTGATCACCTTGAGCTAGGTACATGGTGTGCAATACGTACAACATTCATATGAAGCTGGTCACATGATGCTCGGGCTGACAATCAATGGATGCTTTTGGCTCTCTTCTAGAATGGGGACATGGCCCATCCTATACAAAGTGCCAGACTTGCATGCCGCTTGCAAAGTTTCAAAGGCAAGTCTGATGCAGAAGAGGCAGACATAGAAACAAATGTTGTTGTTGGTACTTCGTGCCCCGGGCACTGCACCCCGAGGGATTTTAGAACACATAATCAATGCAATGGGGATCAGTGACAAGCAGAAAGCAACTCAAAGGGTCAGCCTCCCAAAACTGGCATTTCAGATTTGGGCAGACAAGGCTCTGATATCTCCTATTCACTCCAGCAGGGGATTCTGTGCACTTACATGTTTGGAACTGCCTACCACCAGCAGGTGAAAGTGAATCCTTTTTGTTTCAATTATTAAGAATGCAAATGTTGGAGTTGGATTCTCACTGCTGCACCAGGAGTCAGTTTTGTTTTAAAGGCAGGAGCGAAAACCAAAAACTAACGATTTACAAGAAACAGGCATGCCAGGAACATTATGTAACTCAGAATAACGCTGGGATTTATTGGGCTGACACTTCAGATATTGCTCCTTGCTGATCACAGTATGCAAATTGGCAACCCAGCTGCATTTCAGCATCCGGCAATCTAGAAATGAATGTTCTTTCTGTGTGACAAAAGGGTATTTGGATTCAACACTGCAACAAATTTGACTTAATTTAAACTTCCCTTGACATCATTGTACTTGTGTTGTGCCCAAGCCAACTGCGCTGGCGTAGGCAGACAGGATATCGATGACCTGCTTGGTTTCCAGGGTCAGACGGGCCTCATTTAGCCAATCTTGGGCCACCCTTCTAGACTCTCCTTTCAGCTGATTGACAAATTTAGCAGCCAGCTCTAGATCGCCGTGTTCCATGCAGTAGGAAGCGTAAGAGAGCAGTTTGAATGTGTCCAGATCCTCGGATGTCAACTCACTTGGGGGTTTTAGCTGCTTAGGTTCAAATACAAGAAGGGACTGCAGATAGGAGAGGAAATATTGGTACAGACTGTTTCTGGTTTCATCAATAAGGGCCACCCGGCGGGCTAGATTACGGACGGTATAGAAGCGTGCTCGGAGGGCTTCCTCGCTATACACGCCACGGTGAAGGGACTCTTGAGGGACTGCGGAGGTCAGGGCTTCTGTGAATTCATTATTGGAGCAGCTGGCTTTGATCCCCTGTACTGCGTTCCCCAGGGGCTCGGTGGGGCTCTCGCCAGATGCTGTTCTCAGGGTAAACTTTAAAGCTTCAATGGATAACCAGAGGTGATGGGCCTTCCTGGCCTCCTCTTCAGCTATGGCATGCCCTGGAGAAGATGAATATAGAGTTATGGAGAGAAAGGCTCAGCAAAGACAACATGTACACCGCCCATTTGTTGTAAACCCTCTTATAGTCCTTGTGACATACTAACCTTTCTATCGCTTCCCTGCCAGAAACCAGAAGGAAATACCCAGGACTACACCGTATGGAGGAGCAAGTGACAATGATAGATCTCAAATGGACCGCGCTAAGGTCCATTTGAAATATTTAAGATTTTGTGTATAGGAGTTCACAATTAGGACTGCTGCTCTATAGGTATCACACACACATATATATATATATATTATAATTTTCATATATTTTTTTTTTTTCCTAAGCGCAACAGGACCCCCTTTCTTTCAAAATAAGTGACAATGATGGGCTAATGAACACAATCTCATAAGTTGTTCTAGCACAGCTCTCTAGCTATCTGAGACTTAGGCAGGCCATAGATGGAAGCATTTTTTTTTTCCCCATTCAACCAGCAGCTTTATGGGGAATTCCCTCCGTTGGAGCGATTGTATTCTGACAGCGGAGAGAGGTTCCTGCCGTCAGAATACATGACCAGTGTTGCTGGCTATAGCCGGTGGCAGTCATCGAGCGGGGGAAAAAAAAACACAAAACAAAACAAAACAAAAGACAGACTGGTTGTGCAGAAGTTGATCAAGATATCGACTTCTGTACAACCAGTCTACCCATAGGTTGTGAGTTGGCCCCTCTTTGCTGAACCGGCTGAATTTCTATTCATCTATGGCCAGCTTTACACAGGACTTTCCTTTACTCTGGACATCCTAACAAGAGTAACAAAAGTGAGGTAAATATATAGATAAAAACTCAGTGAGCGCTCACAATATAAACTTATAAAAGCAGCTGTGCGCAGTAAAGGAAACCATAAACCTTTCAAGAGACATATATGTAGGGTAAGTGCAGCGCTAAATATAATCCAGACAAATGTATGGTAACAATGTTCATAAAATGGGTTATTAGTCCACAATACAAGAGTTCAAAGATGATATATTATTCCCACGGTCGTAGCTTAACTAAGACTAGGTGAGGGGCAGGGTATGTATAAAATGCGCACTCACCGGACGCGCAAAGGAAATGCGCAATGCATCAACAAAACGAAGGTCTGCCAGGGGGTCCCTTTCAGGATGCGAATAGAGCCAGCCCGGGATGGATGGACATCGTCTTGATAAATGCTCTCAAACTGGAGGTCCACTTTAAGGACACGGGTGCAGCCTCTTCAGTACAGTGGAATGGTCACCAGGGGGAGCTCAGCTGGTGATCAAATGGAGCCGCCGGATCTCCGTGACCCGGCGGCGTGACGTCAAAGCTTGCAAGCTCCTCCAAGACGCGTTTCGTACACTAGTACATCTTCAGAAGGGGTGTGCACCCTGCCCCTCACCGTGTCTTACTTAAGCTACGACCGTGGGAATAATATATCACCTTTGAGCTCCTGTATTGTGGACTAATAACACTGTTCAACATTGTAAAAAGTTTTGGGCATAAACTTTAGCTAATCTTACAGACATTTTAAAAGGGGTGCTGTTATTAAAACGAAAATGACCCTAAAAAATGTTTGATTGTCTTTCTTAGTTTCCATGATATATTCACCCATCTAATGTACGTAAGCCATTCAAAATTATGATGCAACAGGTCCCAGCTGCATATTGCGGCAATGCAGCGTGATAATGGAGGACCTATCCCAGCTAAATAGATTGTGCAAATTAAACTGAGAATGATGCAATATTAGCCTTTAATTGCATCACTTCACCTGCATAAAAGCTGCAAATCTGTAGGCTGATTGTAGTTCGACAGCGTCTTTACATTTCGTTTTATGCTTATATAGGCTACTCAGTAATGCCTCGAACTTGTGTGAATAAAGCAGATAATTTCTGCTTGAGGTAGAATATCTGCGGTGAAATAACTTTTATCTCACAAAAAAGGAGGATAACAGGAATGATTAAGAAAGTCCCCTACAACTTGTATTTTGGCTGCAAGATAGGAAACCAGGACAAGAGCTGGGCACCACATATATGCTGCAATTCTTGTGGGACGGCACTGGAGCAATGGTTGAATGGAAAGGAAGGCAGTTCTATGCCTTTCGCTGTGCCAATGATTTGGAGAGAGCCCACAGATCATGTTAGAGTAATTGTTACTTTTGTATGGTGCCTCCAATTGTAAAAGGGCTAAATAAGAAGAAAAAGTTATCTGTGCACTATCCAAATATTCCATCGGCAATACGTCCAGTTCCTCATGGAGAGGGGCTACCAGTTCCTAAAGCACCAGAATCCTTCGTGGTTGAGTCAAGTGAGGAAGAACCTGAAGCGTGTAGTCACGTGCAGTTGTAAGAGATAGCCCTTTCCTCGAATACAAGAGAAAAGCCAAGAGAAGCAAAACCGACACAAACTGAAGACAAAACTAGTGAGAATCCTAAGTGTTAAAATGATACTTAGCTTATGGCTATAATTTTTCTTGGTAATCCTATGCAATATATTATGCCATTTAGGCTTTGTTATGTAGTCAATATCACTTGCTTTATATTTGTGGAAAGACATCTATCTATATAATTATTGTGCATTATGTAGTCATTACGCCTATAGTAGAAAACTTTCCGTTTACAGAAAAACTAGAGCCAATTGACAAATTTCATTGTTATATTTGAACTCAGAATGTGAAATTCATTAAGAAATGGATCCTTTTGTTTCCAAAACTGGCAAAAAATAAAAATTTGTTGAACAGTGTAACCCATTTTATGAACATTGTTACCATACATTTGTCCGGATATTTAGCGCTGCACTTACCCTACTTATATGAGGTAAATATATGTTGTGCAGGAAGACATTTTTAAAAGGCATTGCTCTGGTCAAACGCAAGTTATTAAAATCAACATGCAGAGGACCAAGCCTAGTTAAGTTTTATACCTGTCTTTCTTGCTTTCTACATTGTTTTAGGTGCCAGTATCATCCCATTCTGAATGGTACGGAGGTCAGCCTGAGAAAACGTGAGACAGTACACAGGTCCCAGCACCACCAACCTCTGCGGTCTCCCACACTGCAGCGTGAAGGGTAAATAGCAAGAGGTCACAATCCTACTCCCAGCTACTAATAGATTGTACAGCTCTCAAATTAAAGCTGAACCCTGGCAATTAGACAAAATCTAACCCTGAAGTGCAACCGCCCACCACCCCATCCTCATTCTTTCCACCAGCACTGAAAAGGTTAAAAATGCTCTAGGGGTGTATGGATAAAGCGTAATACCGTATCCATAGCTCCAGCAAGCCTCCTCCATCCATTTGACTGATCCAGCGCTACAATCTCCTCTCTACTCCTCCACATACAATGCAAGGTTAATATGTGATGATGTTAAGGGACCACCCAAATCATGAACTTCAGGTAGAAGAGAACAGTGCTGGCGGCTGCTGGACCAATGATAGGGTATGTAATACACCTTATCCTTGCACCCCCTTCAATAAATGAGGATTTAAGGGAAAGGGGAATAGGGAGAGGTCCCACTGCAAGGGAATATTTGTTTCTCAGTCTCAGAGTTCAGCTTTAAGGTAAACCAATCGGAGTCCTTCACTTGGCACAGTCCTACTCTTGTAGTCCTAATCTTGTTGATTAGAATTGATCTTCAAAAAATCTATACACTTTTTGAGACCTTCATTTTGGTAGGCATGGGAAAGGATTAGAAAGTTGTACTGCTGTGCAGGGAGCCGCTAGAGAAATGTCCGCTCACTTTCTGTTCTTGTGGAACTCTCCAACAGCAACACAGACAGAAGTAGAGGAATGCTAGAACCCTTCAGCTCTTTCAATGTTGTTCTCTGCTGTGGATTTTCCTTCACGTCCGATCTACTAAAAAAGATGTATCACCAGCACAGGAAGTGAGGGCAAAATCTTTCTAACAAAGGTTCTAACCTTCCTCTCTGCGTTCTAAAATAAATTAAAAACCAGGTTTTGGCTATTCATACACTTTGAAACACTTCAGATTCCTTTCAAAATAATAGCAAAATCAGCTGCTACACTGGGTACAGAAAACAATCATCACCCTCCCCTTTAAAATAATCACATTTTGTTGCTTTGCAGCCTGAAATGAAGACAGACACAGTTTTTGTTTTATTCAGTTGTATTTACTCAGGAAATTAGAACATTCAAGTGAAAGATAGAACACCAACATGTAAAAAAAAAAAATTAAAAAAACAGAATCATGGAGTTGGAAAAAGTTTCACCCCCTTGTGTCAGTATTTTGTTGAACCCCCTTTGCTTTAATTGCAGCCTTTAGTCTGTTGGGATCTGTCTCTACTAACTCTGCACTCCTAGACTTTGCAATATTCACCCGCTCGTCTTTGCAGAACTGCTCTCATTCTGGTAAATTTGATGGTGACGTTTGTGGACTGCAGTCTTCAAGTCATTGGGGTTTTAGTCTGGGCTCTGACTAGGCCATGCAAGGACATTCACCTTTTCCTCCTCCAACCACTGTGGGCTCATTTTAGCTGTGTGTTTTGGGTCACTGTCATGCTGGAAGATAAACCTTCCCACCTACAACTTTCTGGCAGAGGGCAGCAGATATCCTCAAGAATTTGACGGTATTTTGCCCCATCCATTTTTCCTTCCATCTTGACAAGTTCTTCAGTCCCTGCTGCAGAGAATCCTCCCCATAACAGGACATTACCAACTCCATGCTTTACAGTAGGAATGGTAGTATTTGGAAGGTGAGCTGGATTGGATTTCCGCCAGACATATTGTTTGGTGTTGAGGCAAAATCATTCAATTTTAGTCTCATCTGACCATAACACCTTTTTCCATGCGGCCTCAGAATCTTCAAGGTGCGTTTTGGCAAAGCTCAGTGGTGACGGCATGCAGCCTTTCTTGAGTAGTGGCTTTTCTTTCTTACAGCCCTCCAATACAAGCCACATTTTTGGAGAATTTGTGATATTTGTCACATGCACACAATGATCACTCTATGTCACAAATCCCTGCATCTGCTTCAGGATTGCTGTTGGACTCTTGGTAGCCTCTCTCACCAGTTTCCAGCTGGCTCTTTCATCCAGTTTGGAGCAACATCCTGATCCAGGGAGGGTCTGTGTTGTACCAAACACCTTCAGCTTCTTAATAGAATTCACTGTGCTTCTGGGTATTGACAAAGCCTTTGACATTTTATTTGTTTCCATCTCCTAACTTGTGCCTGTCCACAACTTTATCCCAGATATCTTTTGACAGTGCCATGCCACCCATAGTTGATTGTTGGCTTCAGTTGCACTACAAGACTGAAATGCTCCAGAAAAGCCTTTAATGCTGAGCTAATCAAAATGGCCACAGTTGAACATCAAATGGCTTTGTGCCATTGAGAAGGTGATTAGCTACATCTGATTGATTTTACAAGTCAAGTCATTTTTAGGAGCGGAGGGGGGGATACTTTTTCCAACTCAATGATTCTGTTTTTGAAATGTTTTTTTTTTTATTTTTTTCTGACATGTTGGTGTTATCTTTCACTTGGATGTTATAAGTTGCACTGATACAGCTGGATAAAACAAAAACTGTGTCAGGCAACAAAATGTGATTATTGTAAAGGGAGTGATTCTTTTCTATACGCACTGTATTTGTGTATAGTTTGAAGTGTGGGTGGAGGCCAGGGGCCTGACAACTCATGGGGCCCCCGGGCAATAGGGGATCATGGGGCCCCTGTGCCCTTGCCCAAACTCAAAAAAGGCCTATGAAAAAGGTACCAGGGGCATCTCATGGGGCTCCCTACTGACCCCGGGCCCTCAGGCAGTGCCTGAGTTTCCAAATGGTCAGTCCGCCCCTGGTGGAGGCATTTCTCTCTTTCAGCCTATGAGTTGATGTGTAAATGGCTAGCCTAAAGGACTCACCTTCCACAGCCTGCTCAATGCCCTTCAGCCTGGCATAGGCAGTGTTGATATCCAGGGTGAAACCATCCAGCTGTTCCTGAGAAAGACGTCTGAACTGCATTTCTTGTTCAGAGAGCTTTTCAGATAGAGTCTGCAGACAGAGAACACACACTGTCATATACACATGTATGTTACTTTCTGAAGTGTGCATCGTAATGTACAATTGTGGACTACATTTGCAAAACTGCGAAATTCAGTTTAAGAACATAGATCTCCTGACTTTCCATCTGTGGTGTGAGTTTTAGAAGTTATCTCCTTGTAAATCCAGACCAACCTGCTGGAACTCTGCTTTGAATTCCTGTTCCTGTACATCAAGGACATCTCTCAGATGATCTGTGTGCGCAGCCGCTTGTCTACGTAGCTGTGTTCTCATCTCCGCCTCCATCACCTCCCGCACCTCTTCCACCTGCATGAACACTCCGGATTACACAAGGGATTTTATATGTCTAACAACAGTCCCTTAATAGTCAGTATTGATTCGACATGAGTGATACATACATGGAAAAATCACTTACTGGCTTAAAATAAAAATACTTAAGGTATATGTAAACCCAACCACTAACATATCAAAACAATTAATGCGATGTTAAAAGTAATTCTGTATTTTAATCTGTGGCTTTCATTAAAATATTTGTGGATAATGCCATGCAGATCCTAGTTCAGCACTTCCTGCTATAGGGTGACACTGTCCCTGTCTCTTAACCACTTCCTGACCGGCCGTTGTATATAAACGGCCCGGACGGTGGCAGTGCAGGGTCAGGTGGCCGTTTATAAACGGCCTCCCCGCACCCTGCTTGTGCGCACTCCCCGGGGGTGCGCAGCACCGTGATCCGGTGCCCGCTGTGTCCTCAGGACACAGTGAAACACCTATCGTCAGACGGGACCTCTGTACAAGGTCCCGATCATGTGATCACTGATTGGCCGATCAGTGATCACATGCAAAGTAGTAAGCAAGATGTCACTTGTGACATTATTGCTTACTACGTGTGAAATCTGTGAATGATCACAGAGGTCACATGGTACAAGGTTATTCACAACAGCCTTGTACCATGTGACAAGCTGTGACCAATCACAGCTCACTCAGTAGTTCTCAATGGCTGCAAGAATGCAGACAGAGAGAAAGAGAAATGATTGCTTTTACATCCTATATGGGTGTAAAAGCAATCAGTGTAAAAAAAAAAAAAAATCTTCATCACCCCCCAAAAGTAGTACAGTGTCACCATGGTGACACTGTACTGCTAGGGTGACAGTATGTAAAAAATAAAATAAAATAAATAATATTAAAAAAAATAAAAATTAAAAACAAATGTTTAAAAATTATAATTTTTGGTTAAACTAATTTGGCTAATTTTTTTTTTTTACTAAAAAGATAATGGAATAAATTTTGGCCAAGATTTATGATGAAATATTATTTATTTGCAAAATTTTATAAGAAACTTTTTTTCAACATTTTTGGACATTTTCATTTACATAGCAAAAAAAAAAAAAAAAAATCCCAGCGGTGAATAAATACCACCAAAATAAAGTTTTATCTGTCTCAAAAAATGGTAAAAAAATTCATATGGGTACAGTATTGCATGACCGCGCAATTGTCATTCAAAGTGTGATAGCGCTGAAAGCTGAAAATTGCCCTGGTCAGGAAGGGGGTAAAAGTGTCGGGACTGGAAGTGGTTAATTGTTCTCGTGTACTTTCCATGAAAACTCCATGTGACTGGGTAGCAACACAAGTTGCCTTTTATATCACAAGTTACACTGACAGTTTTTACTTGCTCTGAGAAATGCCATCCAACCATTAAAAGTGTGCATGGAATGTTAAATTCAGATGTGAAATTTATAATACTCAAGGGGAAAAACAAAATGAATGACAGGGACGCCTTCTGTACCTTCTTGTCTTGCTCCAATTGGATCTCAGCGCGGTAATGCTCCAGGGCTTTACCCACAGCAGACTCCAGAGCGTGTTTATCCTCCAGCTTCTGTTTTTCTAGGGCTGCCTCGATGTGCTGCTGTTCCCTCACCCGGTACTCTGCTAGCTGCTTGTGTAACTGGTCAATGCGCCGGTGGGCATGGGCGATGAGAGAGTTCAGGTCCTCGGTGCTTAGTTTTCCAGCTACACAGGATACACAACACAATACAAAATCAGATCAGGTACAATCTTATCACCTCTACAAAGTTCCTGCAGTGCTGGACAACAGGGACACTGCAGACAAAATGATCTGATATACATGGGGCTAAAATAAATCGGTCACATAATACCCATGTGATAGGATGTGAAGGACACCAATGTGCCGCACACTTGTCCCAGGAAAAGGAAACCCATGACTGAGTCAATACAAAAACTACCACTAGACAGACAATGGCACCTTTGACCACAGCTTAAGCACACAGCACTCCTGCTTCCTGACAGGTCCTCTTTAAAGAAAACCTTGCCTTGGTGCCAGGCTCTGCATATTGAAGAACTCTGATAAAGATTAAAAAATGAAACTCAGGTCATACATTCATGTGTCTAAATACCTGTATTAGCTTCTCTAAGAATCCATATTGAAATGTGAAGAAAATCTGTTCTTTATTCCCTGCTTTACAGATTCATTGTTCCTCCCCTGTTCAAAGCCCTGTTTGTGAGCATGCAGCTCTGATGACTACCCTTTGTTCAGTGAGAGCATCTGAGGGGAAAAGGGATGTCGGCTAGAGGGCTCCCGCCCTGTTTCACCCCTTTATTTGTTGGCAGGATGAAGGTGGCTGGGCTCCCTGTCAGGGTGGATTTGATTTAAATCACTAGTGAAAAGGCTTGATTTAAATCACAATTTTTAACCTCTTCACGCCAGCTGCACACAAATGTGCGGCCTCCTGGTATCTGGGCCTAGACGCTGAGCAGCCGCACATTTGCGTTCTATTAAAAAAGGACATATGTGCCGAGAGCGCGCGCCCTGCACACTCCCAGCACATGTCCGGTACTCACGGAAAGGTCCTGATCTCCTCTTTCGATCGGGACCTTTCCTGATCATGTGACCGCCGGGACAGCACATCACATGACCCTAAACCCCGCCCCGCCTCCTGGAACCCTTAAAGGGCCGGGCGGGCCGGCGTGAAGGGGTTAATGAGCAACTGTCCCGCAGTGGCTCTTCCTCTGACCCGCTGTTGACTCACCGACCGTCCCATTCACTTTAATGGCACAGCTGGTGATGCGGCAGGGACACAACAAGGTGAGGGACGTGGCGGCAGCAGGTAAGTGGATGCCTGCTAACAGGTGCTGCCATGATGGACCTAAAATGACAGGTGCTCTTTAAATGTAAGGAATCCGACTCATTCTTGCTGGTAGTTAGAATCTTTAATATTTGAAAACCAAATGAAGGTTTCCTTTTTAGAATAATAAGCTGTCAGGTTAGTAAAAAAACCGCGATATCAGAACCGATTTTAGGTTAACCACACATAGCTGGAAAACGACTCCAATTCTTTTATTTCAGGTTTTTTCTCATGGTTACTGTGACATTGTGTGAATGCATCAATGCAGTGCATGTTATCCCAGCTTGGATTCATTGAATGAGTTCACCAAAAATATAAATATTGCAGAATATACAGCCTCCTGCTACATAACTACGCTCCATTTCATGCCGAATAAGCTGAAATTATTAATGTATCTTAAACAGAAAACTATCTTTAGATTTTACTCCAAAAGTATTTTATTAAAATAAACTTGATAAAAATAAAAAAAAAAAATCAGATTTAAATTTTAAAAAAAAAAATCAGATTTTTTAAAAAAAAAAAAAATCAATTTTTATCCCCCCTGCTCCCTGTTATGGTGCATGTGACCGCTGGCATCCTAGCAACCAAGGAGCCGCTTGTTACAGAGTTGAGTTAGCAGGAGAACTGAGTAACCCCCCCCCCCCTGCCTACCTAGTAACGGTGCTGGTCACCTGGTCACCAAGACTAGCACTGTCAATCTTTAATATTCGTCTCCTTGCTAGATATGTGGTCATAAGGTCGGGGGAGGGGGGGGGGAGGTTGCCCACGCTGTTTCAGCAAAGATGCAAGCTAGAAAGACAGGACAAAGTGCTATATGGGGGACAGGAGCAACAGCGAAAAGAAATAAAGTTTACTCAGGACATTTTTATACTTGCCTTATCATTTTGCTTTACTTACTGTAATTCTTCGGTTTAAAGAACACCTTAAAAGCAGGACCTCCCTAGAGTCCTGACTATCAGGTAAAAAGAGGACCAAGTCTAAAGATACAACTGCCTTTGTTAGGACAGGGGCTTCAAGATCCAATTTGGTAAAGGAAGAAAGATTTTAGTCCAGGTAACCCTTCAACATAAGTCAGCTGCTTCATTCAAAAAGACTTTGGCAAAGCATCATGCTGCCCTATCCTATGAACACCAAAAGTATCAGATAAAAGTACATACAGAACACTCAGTGCCAACATCATACAAAAGCTGAGGACCAATGAATGCCTCCGCGAATGCACTCTGTACAGTACAGGTATAATATTTATGGTAAATGGATACAAGTACCCGGACAATGATTAGGTATTGCTTATAGCCATGGTGAACAATCTATGTAGGCCAAGAGTGGACATGCCACCACAGCCAAGCACAGTTAGGTCTATATATATATATATATTTGGACACAGGCACAATTTTAGTTTTTTCAGGTATTTACCAAAACATATTCAAGCTATAGTTGTATAATGGATATGGGCTGAAAGTGCACACTCTCCCATTTAATTTGAGGGTATATACATCCAAATTAGAGGAATGGTTTAGGAATTACAGCTTTTAAGATTAGCCAACCCCCTTTTTCAAGGGACCAAAAGTAATTGGACAGTTGAATCAAAAGCTGTTTCATGGCCAGGTGTGGGCTACTCCGTCATTATTTCTTCATCAGTTAAGCAGGTAAAAGGTCTGGAGTTGATTCTAAGTGTGATATTTGCATTTGGAATCTATTGCTGTGAACCTACATCATGCGTTCAAAGGAGCTGTCCATGCAAGTGAAACAGGCCATTGTAAGGCTTCAAAAACGAAACAAATCCATCAGAGAGATAGCAGCAACATTAGGAGTGGCCAAATCAACAGTTTGGTAAATTCTGTGGAAAGAAGAACGCACTGGTGAGCTCAGCAACATAAAAAGGCATGGACGTCCATGGAAGACAACAGTGGTGGATGATCGCAGGATCCTCTCTATGGTAAAGAAAACCCATTCACAACATCCAGACAAGTGAAGGACACTCTCTAGGAGGTGGGCGTATCATTGTCAAAGTCTACAATCAAGAGAAGACTTCACGAGAGCAAATACAGAGGGTTCACCACAAGCTGCAAACCATTCATAAGCCTGAAGAATAGAAAAGCCAGATTAGCTTTGCCAAAAAAAATCTAAAAAAGCCAGACCAGTTCTGGAAAAGCATTCTTTGGACGGATGAAACTAAGATTAATCTGTACCAGAATGATGGGAAGAACAAAGTGTGGAGAAGGCTTGGAACAGCTCATGATCCAAAGCACACAACGTCATCTGTAAAACATGGTGGAGGCAGTGTGTGATGGCATGGGCATGCATGGCTTCCAGTGGCACTGAGTCATTGGTGTTTTATTGATGATGTGACAGAAGACAGAAGCAGCCGGATGAATTCTGCAGTGTTTACAGATATACTGTCAGCCCAGATTCAGCCAATTGCAGCAAAGTTGATTGGACGGCGCTTCACAGTACAGATGGACAATGATCCAAACACACTGCAAAAGTGACCTAGGAGCTTTTGAAGGAAAAGAAGAGGAATATTCTGCCATGGCCGAGTCAATCACCTGGTCTCAACCCAACAGAGCATGCATTTCACTTGCTGAAGGCAAAACTAAAGGCAGAAAGAGCCACAAACAAAGAACTGAAGACAGCCACAGTTAGAGCCTGGCAAAGCATCAGAAAGGAGGAGGAAACCCAGTCTTTGGTAATGTCCATGGGTTCCAGACTTCAGGCAGTCATTGCCAGTAAAGGATTCTCAACAAAATATTAAAAATGAACATTTTATTTATGATTATATTCAATTGTCCAATTACTTTTGAGCCCCTGAAAATGGAGGGACTGTATATAAAAATGGTTGCAATTCTTAAAATTTGTACTTGATATTTTTGTTCAACCCCTGGAATTAAAGCTGAAAGTCTGCACTTCATTTGGATTGTTCCATTTTAATTTATTCATTTTGTAAAGTGCTGCGCAAACTGTTGGCGCTATATAAATCTTGTATAATAATAATAATAATTCTGATGGCATACAGAGCCAAAAGTATGAAAATTGTGCATGTGCCCAAATATATATGGACCTAACTACTGTAAGTGGCAAATACAGGTTGCTGCCCATGTTCTTTTTTTTCTATGGTTGTTAGAAAAAGGACAGAAGTTCTTTTCACAGGATCTGACTGACTGGACACTGGTTCATTAACTTATCCACCTCTATCACAAGCAATCCTGATGACAGGCACATCCAGGCCCCACATGACAACACAATGAATCTTTACATTTCCTACTGTGATCAACCTCCAAAGCATAGGAACACCTGAGCAGTAATAATGTTAAACTGAACTCCAGTCAGATTTAAAAGAAAAACAACAACAACAAAAAAAAACACATCTTTTTAAATGCTACTAGTGCAAATCTCTCTATATAAATCCTGTATAACTAGAAAATTTACAATTTCTGGGGAAATTGTGTGAAGTGTTCTTGCCTCCACCAGTAGTCTACAACTGGAGTGGGCGGAGTAGCTTTTGTCACTCTGCTGCCTGCTCACACACCTGGGTTCCTATGGCAACTCAATCTACAGCAAGGGCAGAGAAGAGCGGTTAAAAACAAACTGCTCCAACTTGCTCACTTCACTGGCGGTTGCCATCTTCAAACGGTTGTAGTTTAAAAATTATAAATCCTACACCGAAGAGCTTTATATTGTGAGAATCACAAGACCCAGACCTACATTTTGATGCATAGTATGTTTCTGGAATATTAAAAATGAAGGCACAGTCGCAGTTTAGAAATTGCCCTTTAAATTTGAGGTGGCTAGAGTGGAGTTTCAATGAATGTCAATGGGCGGCATGAGTTGCAAACAAATGGTCATATTGTAAAAACTATCAGGACTATGGCTTAGCCGTGAACA